TGACATTTTTTTTTCTTTTAATCGCTAATGTAAAGAGATACATATCAGTATTTGGTACGTTACATGTGGAAGGTACACAAAACAGTAATACTGTGGGGTGCACACTTTATAATGCACCCCCTAAAATGCAAATCAATCTTAAGTATCAATAAAAAAACACCTTTATTACAAAATCTTAAAAAGTTGTACAAAGTAAAACAATATTGATATGAGTCGGATAACAAAGCAAAGAGTAAAAAAACATACAATTTAACCACAAGCCTAGCAGAGAGCAAAAACAGCTAATTGAAAAGTCTTGCCAAGGCAGGTGCTCTGGTCTTTTGTTGCCACTAGAGTTTAGCTCCATTTAGCTAAATAAATCAGGAAGTAACAAGACCAGCTGTCTGATTGACAGCCATGTAGGTGTAACAAGGTCTATTTATATAGTGCCAATTGAAAATGCACTTTCACAAAATTAAACAAAAAGAGGGCACACTCCTCACATATAAAGCATTTTTAGCAGCTGGAGTATTTATGAACTTGGAGAGCTCCTTTAAGATAATCATCTTTTTTTATTTATTTTTTTATTATTTATTTAACCGTGCTCGGTTGTACAGAGAAATGCAACTGACATCTCAGCATATTTTCAACTGTCAAGCTTGTAACTCTAACTGTAACATTTGTTTTGACATCATTATAGGTGATTAGCAGGGTGGTTTTTGAGATGTGTTTGGTAGGCACATTGTTTTTTTTTTTTGATCAGGTTAGGTGACATGCCCAGGTCTAGCAAATTGTTAGCATGTTAAGTGTTGGTGCGTGTTGCGTTCCCGGGATACTACATGGTTATGGTTACAGGTGTGCTCCTTTAGTTTCAGGAGGGTGCATTGCTGCCTTGGAGCTTGCTCATGTGTGTTGTCAGGATAGTCTTGGTGTGTAGGTAATGCCAGGGTGTGTGTGTCTTGTGGGCACAATATGCAGAGCGAGCATCAAGTGTGTGTGAGTGGTGGTTTGTATGGTATTGCAGTGGTGGTCTGGCATGCCTAAGGATACCCCTGTCCTAGGGGGACATTGGGGGGAGTTTCTGGCGCCATTCGTCTCTGGACAGCCTGATGGTTAGAGGCCATTACTTGCTGGGCAGGAAGGGTGTGCATGTTGTGTGTGTGTGTAGAGGTAGGGAAAAAGGAGAGGAGAGAAAAAAAACAAAAACAAAAGGAACATTATGCAACAGAATATAAAACTATAGATTCTTCTTTGGTTGGCATAAAAGTCCTGATAGTCAGTTCAGATGTGGTGTCTAGTTAGCCATAGGGCTGAACATAGATATGGTTATCTCAGTTCCTGTCTTGCATCAGGTATTCGGGGTCTGCAGGCTCTTCATCGCTGGTCCGGTTTGCTTTATGTAGGGTGGTCGTCACGGCACCAAAGGTTTTACGTCTAAGTAGCGTGGCTCTGGTTAGATCTTGAAAAAAATAAAAGTTTTGCATTTTCGAATTCTAGTGGCGTTTGGCCCTTCAGGGCTGTCATTATTTGAATCTTGTCATGTATGCTGACACAGCGTAAGATGACATCTCTGGGGGTATCTTGTGTGATGTGGACAGAACTTGTTACACGATATATACCATCCAGAGTGATTTTCTTTGCTACTGAGTGTGACAGGATCATTGTCAGGAGGCGTCGCGTGTAGTGCGGCAGTTCTTCAGTGGTGATAGTGTTGGGTATGCCACAGATTTTTACGTGTGTTCGCCGTTCTCTGTCTTTGAGGGACATTATTTGGGCTGCTAGTACTTGCTGTTCCATGTGTAGCTGTTGGAGTGAGTCTTTCAGGGTGGTCATATTGTTCTGCACTCCTGCTATGTCTGTTTCTGTAATAGTGATTCGGTCTGTGACTGTTTGCATATCTCTTTTGATCAGGGCTATATCAGCAGCCAGTAGCCTCTGTATATCTGCTAGGAGCACTTTTAGATCCCCTTTGGTGGTGGGGGCGGAGTCCTCTGGTTAGGTCTGGGAGTAGTTAGCCCGACCTGGGGTTGCTCTTTATTCAGGGTCCTTCTTCCCTCTATTTCTGGGACGGGAGCCATGTTTTGCGGGTAGTCCACGTGCGTTGGCGTGGTTTGGGTCGGTCTCAGGAGCATTTCCCCAATGTCCCTACCTTGGGTGTTGATGCCTGCTGTAGGTTTTGGAGTGCGGCGGCCTGTGGTTGGTGTGTCTGGCGGTAAGTATACCAGGTAGTCCCAGCCCTCGTGCGGTCCGCCGAAAAGTGCTTCGAGGTTGACGGCTGGTGTGGTGCGGTAGGCCGTGGATCTGCACCATTGCCTGGTTTGCTTGGTGGCTTGAAAGAACGGCATCAATTCATTCGCCCTGTCGTTGTGATGCCGGGTAAGTGTTTTGTTTGGGCGGATGGGCCCTGTGTAAGGTGATATTTGTTAGATTATAGTTGGCTGCCCAGGAGCTGGGAGAAATGGCGTCCTCTAAGTTAATCATCTTTAAAGCATTTTAAAAGCAACAGGTTTCTTCATTTAGCATTTCAATTCAACTGAAGCTTACCTGCAACAGTAAACCTTTTATATACCTTTATATTACATATTGAGTCTAATAATAGTAAAAATAATAATGCATTACAATTTAACAAAAGCACATAAAAAAACAATAAAAGATAATCATAGTAGCCTAGGGACTAGAAGAAACCAGCATGCTGGTTTAAGGGCATTTTCTTCTGTCCTTAAAGGACCACTATGGTGCCAGGAAAACATAGTCGTTTTCCTGGCACTATAGTGCCCTGAGGGTGCCCCCACCCTCAGAGACCCCCTCCCGCCCGGCTCTGGAAGGGGGAAAGGGGTAAAAACGTACCTTTTTACAGCGCTGGGCGGGGAGCTCTCTGCCTCCGATCCACCTCCTCTCCTCCCCATCAGCTGAATGCGCACGTGCGTCAAGAGCTGCGTGCGCATTCAGCCGGTCGCATAGGAAAGCATTATCAATGCTTTCCTATAGACGCTTGCGTGCTCTCACTGTGATTTTCACAGTGAGAAGCACACAAGCGCCTCTAGCTGCTGTCAATGAGACAGCCACTAGAGGCTTTGGGGGAAGGCTTAACCCATTCATAAACATAGCAGTTTCTATGTTTATGAATGGGTTAACCCTAGAAGGACCTGGCACCCAGACCACTTCATTAAGCTGAAGTGTTCTGGGTGCCTAGAGTGGTCCTTTAATGCTACGTAAGTATTAGTTTATATAAAGCTTGTATATTTTTAACATTTTTACATTATGATTTGCTTTCTATTTTCTTTTACAAGTTTTATGTCATTAAAGCGGCACTGTCATGCCGAATTCTGTTTTTTTTTTAACCCCCCTCCCGCCTCCACTACATCCAATTGACCCACTAGTCACCCCCAAATGCCTCTAAGCCCCCCACATTACCTATTTTTAAATCCTTATTTTCTGCCCCGATCTATATTCAGGGCGCAGCCATCTTTGTGTGGGTAGGTGAAGTCCCTGTGGGACACGTCATCAGCCCACACTAGGCAGACTGTGAGATTCCCGCACATGCCCAGTGAAACACCTGGACATGCGAACGGGAATTTCATCTATTCATTCATTCATCAGACAGACGAATGAGTGAATAGAAAGATCAGCCGAACAAACAAACACAATGTTTCAGTGTTAGTTTGTTCGTGCAGGTTATTACAAGGAGGGAGCTACCGGCATGCAGCTCCCTCCTTGTAATATGTAACTATAGAAGCGGCAGGGAGCAGTGCTCCCCACCACTTCATAAGCCCCCCCAGGTCCCCCTCTCACTCTATGGGGGTCAATATGACCCCCATAATAGCACAAGGGAGATAAAAATCTCCCAAATGCCCCTACTCGCTATACCGCGAGTAGGGGCATGTCCACTAAACAGTGAGCAGCCTGTGGCTGCTCACTGTAAAAAAAAAAACAAACAAAAACAACTATTGGCCCCCACCCCTAAACAGTGAGAATGGGGGGGGGGCAGTACTCCCCCCACCCCTGGGCGGCGGGTGGGGGCCATAATGAGAATGGGGGGGGACCTACTGCCCCCCCCCGGCCCCCACCCCTGGGCGGCGGGTGGGGGCCATAATGAGAATGGGGGGGGGACCTACTGCCCCCCCCCGGCCCCCACCCCTGGGCGGCGGGTGGGGGCCTTAATGAGAATGGGTGGGGGGGGGACCTACTGCCCGGCCCCCACCCCTGGGCGGCGGGTGGGGGCCATAATGAGAATGGGGGGGACCTACTATCCCCCCCCCCGGCCCCCACCCCTGGGCGGCGGGTGGGGGCCATGAAGATAATGAGGGGGGGGACCTAGTGTCCTCCCCCCCCGGCCCCCACCCCTGGGCGGCGGGTGGGGGCCATATTGAGAATGGGGGGGGAGACCTACTGTCCTCCCCCCCCCCGGCCCCCACCCCTGGGCGGCGGGTGGGGGCCCTAAGTCAATTACCCCCCCCAAGGTGACTAGGGGTCCCCAAGCCCCTAGTCACCCACCCCCCACCCAAAAAAAACAAGTCCCTACCTACCCCCCTCACCCTAAAAAATAGTGAGGGGGGATAAAATAACTAACCTGTAAAATAAAATTAAACTTACCATTCGACGTCTTCTTTTTTCTCAAATCTTCTTTTTTCAGCCCCAAAAAAGGCCAAATAAAAAAACCATCATAACCGTCGAATTGAAAATAAAATAAAAATCCCGAGCGCAAAAAAAAAAACCCGACGAAAAAAAAAAAAACCCGAGCGCAAAAAAATAATCCATCTTCACCTATGGAGGGCTCCGCGCAGACTGAGCTCCGCAGAGCGGGGGAAGGCTTATAAAGCCTTGCCCCGCCCTGCAATTAGGCTAAGAACACTCTGATTGGTGGGTTTAAGCCAATCAGAGTGT